TAGCTCAATAGTTTGTAGTAGGCCTACATTTTTGCTTTAAAATGCATTCGAAACAACATGCAAATTAACATTTAAAGTAACTCAGTGTACATATATTTGATAGAATTACGACCCACAAGTTACGGTCCAATAGTTGTGACTAAATGCTCACAATATTTTTAGCTACAAAGAAACTCGAGCACAAAAAACACACATAAACCCACCTATTTAAGTTTGCTGAGGGAAAYGTCTTAAAGCGGACATTTATGTCATTGTTTTCCTCCTCGTAAAAGCATCAGTCTTTGTAATTGTGGTTGAACCACCGACACGTGCCGAAAAACTGACTGGTGAGCGACTTTTTTAAAAGTACAGCTGGTTTCTTTCATGTTGGGCATATGGGTAAATTATCTTCTGCGCTTGACTTCTCAGGCACAYACGCTTGCACAATCCACCAATTAGATGGCGGCGTTAAAGTCAAGTTTAAGATGAAGTGAGCCTGAACGACCAGACCGTGGGAAAATTTTAACAACCAAGTTTACCTCTCTGTGTGAATCAAAAATGCGCATCTGAGTCAAAATAAATAAATTAACAAATGTTAAATGCGTTATCAGTTGAAATTTTGTTCCTTATACGTTAACATCATTTACATGTTTCTGTAATGAGATTTTTTTAAAAATTTTTATTGACCTTTATTTAATCAGGCAAATTCAATTGAGACCACAGATCTATTTTGCAATGGAGCCCTGATATTTTATGTTTAATATAATCAAAACAATTTTGGCGTTTAGTGGCAAAATTAAAACAAGCATTAATGAAGAAAAAAAATCAAATTATTTTTACTCAGACCTCAAACCTCGCCACTAGATGGCACATGCGTTCCATGGTGTTTCATTCAGTAAAGCTAAATAAAGCTTTTAACATGCAGAACCTTATTCGGAAATAATGATACCTCTGAGTTTATTGGAGGAAATAAACCACCAGATGTGAAAACACACAGATTTATACTGGTTACATCATAGGTTCCCACGTTTATTTCAAATTAAGTCAAGTGATTTACAGCAAGCCCCTTTAAAAATCCTAATATACACAGTAACAATGTCCCAGGTATGTGGAAGTTTTCACTGCTGTGCTGCTCCAGTTTTTCACTGGGTAATGAGAGTGCTCATTCTAATTCATTTCTGCCCGTGATCTTGGTCTAATTAAAGACCTCATCCCTGCCACCTCATTTTCTTAAGCTGTTCCCTTCAATTACATCCGACAGCTGAGCATAGGCACACATTAACCTCCTGGATCAAGAGGTACTGTGCTTCTTTCATTCCTTTGCAATCCTGAAATACAAAACAGTGCCATTCGAAAAAATAATTCTGCTTCTTTTAATATTTGCAAAACACACCTGGGGACAGCAGCACATCCATCACACCCACAGCATGTCTCCAGTTTCTGGAATACAGATGAGAAAAGATCATCCGCATGTTTTTATTTGCAGTGCACTGTGGTTCAACAGTGGCCAATGTCAGTTGTGACAGCTCATTTGTGTTTGAATAGAAATGTCTACAGTCTTTTATATGATGTTGCTGTTTTATCTTTGAGCTGGTGCAATTTATATAAAAATACTGACTGAATTAAATGGGGCTATGCGTCATCAGTGAAAGGCACTCATCGCGAAGTATAGACATCAAACATAACAAAAGGATTAACCTGAAATATATCAAATGCTGTTTAAAAGAGTTTACTGAAGTCTTTATGAGGTGCCTCACATTCTCCTTGCTGTTTACTGTGTCTGAAATGTGGATCAATGGAGAGCAGGGAAGGCATGGTTCCTAAAACACAATGTAGCACACAACCATTTACTCAGAGTTAAAGCTAACTCTTGGGTAATTATGGCACTGTGGCAGCTCATGTGCTTGTTGGGCTGGATAAACAGTGGAAGTGGTGACAAAAGGTTAAGCAGATGATCAATGCTGCACTGCAGCAAAGCAAAAACAATAAAAAAAATCAAACTGACCCATGTGTCATAAAGAGTCTTTTATTTGGAGTTATGAGAAAACACTGAAACTACAAAAAGGGGGGGGGTGGGCTAGTATTTTATTGTTTTATGTTTTGTTGGAAAATGAAAATCAGATTTTATCAGCTCACGTGGTTTTCTTTGTGTTCTTTCTTTTCTTTTCCTTATGGTTTTACTTGTGGTATACTTTTGTGTCTGGTATCACCTGTTACCTGTTGAATGGGAGTCTTATTGTTGCTGTCTGAATGCAGGAACAATCCATGCCGTCACCCAGTGACGTAGCCAACCCTCACAGACAGGTATAGAAGCCAACATTACATCATAGACTTTGCGATTGAGCAAATGGTTAGGTAGACTGGGAGGTATGAATACTGTCTAAATGAAATCTTTCAATGACTTGGGTCTAACTTTTAGCATGGACAAATCACACCCATGGGGTGCCAAGTGTAAAATAAAATGTTAAAAAATGTCACCAACATATTTCCATTATTTAGCTCACTTTCTGACTGTAAAATGGAAAATGGTAAATGGTCTGAACTTATATAGTGCTTTATCAAGCCCAGTCAGACACCAAAGCTCTTTAAATGCTATCTTCAGCAGCAGATGGCTTTAAATTTTTAATTCAACATGTGATAATTGAAAACAAAATGGATTATACTTGCGGTCCAGCAGTTTGTAGCTCAGACACTGGCCACAACTGCAAGTGGGGAAGCTTTAGCAGTGATAGCATTTGCTTTTGTCTCAGGATGATGATGTCATAACAAGAGCCAACAGCAAAGGCTTTGTTCTATTCAGGAATGCCTAAATGTAAACTTCAACATTTATCCACAATATTTACGCAATTTTTAACTTTTACATTTACATATTTAGACATAGGATTCAATCTGGAGTTGCCTGCGGTGAGAGGCGCCGGGCAGGAGTGGGCATACTTGTTGCCCCCCATCTTGGCGCCTGTACGTTGGGGTTTACCCCGGTGAACGAGAGGGTAGCCTCCCTGAGGCAAAAACCCGGGTGTGGGAGGAGTTTGGAGAGGCCATGGAGAAAGACTTCCGCACGGCTTCGAGG